ACACCTGAGCTAGTTCCAAGAAGTTCAAATTGGCTCTACTTCTTCATTAAAATATACACCTAACCAACTAACAAGTGTGGATTGGGATTGTCAAATTTATGATATAACAGTAAATTCTCATCTCAGAATCATGATGAACCAAAAAAAAAAAAAAAACCCAAACCCATTGCCATCAAGTCAATTCTGAATCATAGCGACCCTATAGGACAGAGTAGAACTGCCGCATAGGGTTTCTGAGGAGCAGCTGGTGGATTCGAACTGTTGACTTTCTGGTTAGCAGCCATAGCTCTTAACCACTTCGCCACTTGGGCTTCCAGAATCATGACAGAAGAGAAGAATTATCACTTTCCTCCATTTTGTAGACTAATCAGCACCTACCTAGATAACCAGAATACCAAGTAACCATGGAGGACATTATAAGGCATAAACAGAAAATAATCTGAAGATAAAATATATTTCCATGATTTGATCATTATTAGCTGTCAAGGCCAACTACCCTGCTAAATGATTTACATATATTTTCTTATTTAAACCATAAGAAGCTCTGGTGGCACAGTGATTAAGTACTCAGCTAACCAAAAGGTTGGCAGTTCGAATCCACCAGCTGTTCTGCAGGAGAAAGATGTGGCAGTCTGCTTCTGTAAAGATTTACAGCCTTGGAAACCCTATGGGGCAGTTCTACTCTATGAGACAGAATTTACTCAATGACAATCGGTGAAGCCGTAAAAAAATCATAAGAGCATCTCATTTCTCGTATGTGGCGACTGAGACTAAGTGAAGTCAACTTGTCCAAAACTTTGGTAAAAGACAGAGCCAGATCCCCTCCCAGGTATCTCTGGCTTCAAAACTTGGATGGCTCCTAACAACCCTTCTTTCAGTAACATAAGGCTTAACATGTGGTCATGTCCATCACCAACTGACACAGAGAGGTGACACAAAATTTCTAAGTAGAAAAAAATTAACTTTTTTATTTTGGATGTGTTGTAGAGCAAAGAGTGATACAGATTAAGTGAACTAAGAGATATAAAACTAACAACAGAATTACCATGTATATCTTAGACGGGAGAGCCAATTTCGGATTTTTACTGAACAATTAATGGATGAGTATGTTACTTCTCAAGACCTTCCAAGAATGTCTGCTTGGTACACTTGCAGACAGTGGCACTCTGCTTTTCAGTTGAGAGGGAAATTATTTAATATGTGCATCCAGAATGCAGAAAACAAACTTGTGTTTGTATTTCAACCATGCTCGGTAAAGTAGAGGGTCAGCGAAAAAGAGGAAGACCCTCCACGAGATGGATTGACACAGTGGCTGCCAACAACGGGCTCAAATATAGCAATGATTGTGAGGGTGGCACAGGACTTGGCAGTGTTTCTGCTGTACACAGGGTCGCTGTGAATCGGAATTGGCTCGACAGCACCTAACAACAACAAATAGCAATAACATGTTCCTATGTCATCAGAGTGTCTCGGGAAAACTCTTTAATATGGTTTAACCATACCTAACATTAATAGTCATGAGTTCGTTTATTTCTTTACTGAATAAGCTTTATTGGGCAATAAGTATGAGCTAGATCCTAGAAATATAAAAAAGTATATATATATAAAACATGGCTTTTCTTCCAAAGAAAACTGTAATTACTTTACACAACCTTCCTGAAACTAGTAGCATTTGTGATTCAAATAAGGAGGTTGTGTTTGACATTTAAATCAGGAGGAAATGAAATGATATATGTGAGAAGTGATATCAAGGTAATGAAACAGTGTGAATTAAGAGTTCCAGACGGGGATTAGTTAACTTTATTTTTAAATAAAACAGAAGAAGATGACTTTAAAAAAAAAAAAAAGCATCAAGAAGAAGATAATACCATCTTTGCTACGCATCTACTCGTCTCCATTTCTACGTATCAAGAGGTGGTCCTTCAAGGAAGGGGTTGGGAGATGAGCAAACCCATGCTGTCAAGGATGACACTAATCAAGGAAAACGTCCTACCTAATGTAGCAAACAGCCTTTGTAAGTAGACCTGGCAGGATCCGTATTTACAAAAACTTTATTATATATCAGGTCTCAATAATACCTACAAGGCTCTAAAATTTCTCTAGTATTAATTTCACAAGTTTAAATTACTATTTTCCTGAACTATATTTGATATGTGAGGTCTTCTGCATCCAGGTTCTTCTCTTTACAGTATGTAATTCCCGTTTTCCAGTATTTCTTAGATGCTGACTTTTAAAATCTAAATCAGAAAGCAACACTGCCATGCATTTGTCACTTTTATGAAAGTATTTACTAAGTGTTTCTGAATTAGTTATATCTCCAAAATTAGGATTTAATAATGTCAAAGTAAGATCGGAATGTTGTACAAAGGAAGAAGTTATTCTTGGAAATTTCAGCTTACATGCCATGAATATGTATTCTTTATTCCCACTAGATATATGTGAATTTCTTCACAAGTTCCACTTAATTTCTTCCTTTCTGCTACACTGCATTGCTTAATTTGCCCTTGCAGCCACCATGGAGTTTGAAGCTGCTCCCTTTATAAGCTGTCATCACATTTAAAATCACCTTCCCCAACAAGTCAGCTTCACTTACCTACCTCAGACAATTCTTCCTCTATCAGCTCACAGACCACCTATTGTATATCAACATTTACTACAATTATAATTGTGTGTTTTTTCGGCTATCACTCCATCTAGACTCCAAATCCGTAGAGAAAGACCATGTCCTGTTCATCTTTGTTTCCTAGTGCCTAACACAGGATTTACAATACAGTCAGTGCTTGGGAAGGTTGTTGTACCTGAATAAGAAAAATCTACTTCTAAGCATTGCCCTGAGAACAAGGGAGACAGGCAAGTGTCTCTGGGCTCCTAAAGGTTGGTGTCTACAATTCTGAGCAGTCCACCTGCTTTCTCTCTCCCACCATCACCCTAAATCGGCAGAAACGCTACTAACCTACCTCTACAGAGGGATGAAACACAGGTGTTGAATAAAAACAAAATAATTCTTTTTTCTGTTTCCCAATACAAAAACTGGTGACCCCTAAAAGGAGTTAATAAAGAATCTATTTTCCTTAAATGTCGTTGTCCCTTATATAGGAAAGATGCACAAGGTTTTCCTTATTAAGCGCTAAATTAATGAGGATTAAAAATGACTCAGGTATAGAGAAACAGAGCAACTTCTAGTTCTCTTGAGTGAGTTCCACAGCTCAAAATGAAAGTTCACAGTAACCAGCGACTGTGGTACAGTTTGTGAATGCCTTCTTTTAAATTAATCTTTCTGGTAGATTTCTATCTTATTCTTCCTTTGCGTTAAGCTCTTCGTCTATTTTTTCCTAATATCCTTTTCATAGTGAAGTAGGAAAGTGTGTAATAAAGGGCAGAAAATAACATGTTTATAATTGAAATGCTGGTTCAAAGCTGGAACATACACAATTAAATCTCAACCGTGCTGCGCCCTGTTCAGCAGTTAAAGGCATATTTCTATTGTGAAGCTGTAACTCACGCAAAAGAAATGAAAAACTTTAACTTTTGAGATCATTTGAAATTACATTTTTAAAGGAAATAAAGGCAAGGGCTATTCTGAAAACAACTAATCTTGTTTGAGTGAAAGTTCTCTGAAGAAATCTTAATGCTTCTCTAGAGTTTAAAAAGAAAACTGAAAGCAGCCACAACTCTGTGAATATAACACCATCCCAAAAATTCAAGGTACATTTCTCATCTTGTTACACAGCACACACATTCAAGCCTCCTACTCCAGCAGAGCTCTAAATAAATCACAATTTCAGCTTCAGACATTACATAAAGCAGGTGCTTTACCAAAGAGATGAAAACTGGACTCACCATGTTTACTGACATATACCAGGAAGGTAGTACAATTGTTCAAATACTTAGTAAAAACAAAATTCAATTACACATCTGCAATAGGTATTGCATCTGTCCTTTACAACATACTAGATGTTGTTCATTCCTTCATGACAATTTTAACTATGTTCTAAATTCTCAATCACTCGTCTATGGCTACTTTCCAGCTTTTCCCTATTCTTCTCCCCGTGCAAAGGAAGTTAAAATGAAAAACGAAAAAGGTGAAAAGGAGGAAGGAAAAAAAGAAGCTCAAAAGTAGAAAGCCAAATATGTCACAAATACATTTCGCCAGGTAATCAGTAGACGGGGAAATAGGAGAAGATGAGATTAAATCTTAACAAGTTAAATGTGTGTAGGTTTGGGCGCCAAGGAAAGAACGGCAGTACACATTACACTTTGCTTGTTGTTGGCGACAGCAGTCCAGCAAACGTTCGTTAGAAAATCAAGTCACAGTATTTGAATACAGTAAGGGAAAAAACAATAGATTTTTCACAGAAGAGCAGTAGATCAAGGTAACTCATACAGCATTTGAAGTTTTTAGCGATATGTGTTTTTTTTCAATAAAATAATGAAGTCAGGATTACCTAAGAGTACACAAATGTTGACATTTGAGTGTGTGGAGACTGAAGGGAAGGAGCCACATGGTAGGAGATCAATCCATAGCTTGCCTAACTTTTAGAAAACGTCAAACATAATCATAAACAATCTTATGAAATTGAATAAACAAACATACAAATTAAAAATAAATCTTAATCTAGGTTTTCCAGATCATTTTTATTGGCTAAATCTTTCTGGAAAACTGCCTGAAGTTCTCATTAACTTTTCAAATCCAGCTGGAGTTCTAACTTTAAAGTCTACCATCAATTTATAGCAAAGTAAAATATTTGCACAGATGTGCTGAACAATAAGCATATTAGGATCATTTAAATGCATGGTTACTTAGTGTTCCTGCAAACCTTCTCTTCATCATGTGCTTTCTGTGATTATGATGTATACGTATGAATGAAGCAGCAGTTGCCCACAAATGAAAATGTTTTCTATTAAGCATATGCTAAATCAACACCACTCTACATCTGACCATAAAGGAAGATAAAACACTCAACATTATGATTCAATTAAAAACCTCCAAGATACGTTACCTGCCGCCTCGAGCACTGAAAGGCACTACATGGATCCCCAGAGGCCCTCCATCGTTGGGGACTTGTACGAGCTTTACCATATCACTGTGAGACAATGATGAATGAAGGAGCATGAACATGGACTGTAAACAAACCAAAACTGAAAGAAAACAAAACAAAAAACCGCAACAACACAGACACACAGTAAACAACGAAGGAGAACAAAACGAAAATCCCACCAAGCACACGTGCATATACATACATATTCTGGAATATAAGCATGGGGATGAAGCAACATTAAACACTACATACCTGAACACTAGTCTGATGGCATGGAGGGAGAGCAATCATCAGAAATAACTACATTAACAATTGCACAGACCATTTCTCTTGGACCTTGTGTGTAATATAAGCATACATTTTGCAAGGCAAATCTATAGATTTCCACGGAAATGTTTCCATCGCCAGTATCTACAGCAAGGGCTCTACAGATTGAATGAAGGTGCTGCAGCTACATAGCACACTATAATTTATACAGTGCTCTTATATATATGTCACATTATTTGATATTTCCAATAATTCAAGGAGGTAAAGTTGTCAGCCCTGTAGGTAGCAGTCCAGAGGTGAGCCAGCTCTCCTGACCACCCAGGATCCCATGACAATCCAAGTCACCATTTCCTAACCTGCTGTAAGAGCTCTGCAAAGGCAGGTGATGAAGCCTCTTCTTCAAAGCCAATGGTTTACCCACCAACAATCAATTAACTTTCATAGACGTCTTTATAATTGAAATTTAAAGGCAAAAAGTTACTTCTATGACAGGAAGTAACATGAAATCATTGCTATAACATGACTAAGGTGCTTAGTGCAAGGGGCGTAACATTCTATATATGCTCATCAAGTCATTTCATTGAATCTTTTCTATTAAATTAATAAACTTGGATCTAATGAAAATTGGTATAATTTGGAGAATGTGAATTCTCCAAACCATTTAAATGAGGTTTTGCTTTCTTTATAGAGCTTCTAATGTATATACAGCAGTGGAGACCTACGCATAAGCAGTACTTGTTTAGCAATTAATATTTTAAAATAGTATTTCAATTAAATATCTAGTAACCTGGATAACTGGAAATTATTATCAATGGATTTGATAAAGACCACATTACAGTTTTTATTATAGATAATGCAAAACATTCATTCTTTATTTATATTTCTTAAAGAGAAACCTGAAGTTATCTTAGGTACTGTAAATGTACTGCATATATAACATAAAGGCTAAATATAATTAAAGACAGACATATGAAAGATGAAAATATGTGCACAGATTTGATCACATACACTTATTAGGACAAAATAAAATTTTGCCATTCTGCCCAAATATTTACTAAAGTAACACTTCAGATTTTTTTCCCACAGAATTTCGTAGCATTCTGTTTTAGATACTGTTAATACCATTTGAACATCTATTTAAACACTGGTTTGTCAACTAAGAATACTATAACTTTAACTAATTTTATTCCACATTCTTTCTAAAAGGAATTATGAGGTGGCAAGCATGTCTTAAATACAGATATTCAAGGGGACTGTATTAACCAAACGTAATTTAATTTTGAACTCTTGTCAATTCTTGCTGGGAAATCTTAGAGCCTTCCCCTGAAGACCAAGTGAAGACAGAATTAAGAGTGTATACATTAACATCTAGAATCCCACCTATTACACAAAGTAAAAGGAAAAACAAATTGACTGCCCTTCCTGCTCTAAATTATCAAAGGAAGAAAAAGTCCTAAGAACATCTTCCATTTAAAAATGTCAATTTTCAAGCAAATTGGAAAGTTGTGATAAAATAGGAAAATTTTTCTTTGCCCCTTTGTACTAAAAATCATGTTCAAGGTCCCTAACCTATGATCTCTAATTTTTTCATCCAATATCTTGAAAAACTCTATTTCTTCAAATAAAAAAACATACTAAAATACAGGCAGTCCCCAGGTTACAAATGTGGGACTTACGGACAACTCTTAATTGCCCTTTAATATTATGTAAATTTGCCCTCACTTTGAAAGGATTGAACCAACCCTACTCCCTTCATCACAATCACCTTCATTTGCTGCACTTATAGCTTTTAAATCACTGAAAAAGTTTCAAGCTTTTCTTGCACTAAAGTAAGGCTAAACAAGAACCATATGCGCCTGTTCCGATTTACCTACAAATTTGAATTAAAGACACAGTAAGGAACGAATCTCGTTCGTAAACTGGGAACTGCCTGCATAAATACTGCTTACATGATCCAACTGTTTTTTCAAGTAAAGTATGTCTATAATTTTTTTTTTAACTGAGTAAAGCTGAGGAACAAATGACCAAAATACTGACATACCAAAGCAATCTGTAAACAGTTACAGTGTTCACAATGCTGTTCACATGGCAAACGTTTTAAATCAAATACTATTTTATAATTTAATAGTATTTGTCAAAGCATGAAACTCAGGACAGGTACATGGGAAGTTCCACGCTATGGTTTTTATATTACATAATTAACTCAACAGATGAAAGATGCTCTTTGGAAAAACAAAGCAACACAAGTCATGTGTTTAACTAAACACAAACATTCTGCATGCCATATGCTTTCGGAATACTTGCTGCTATCAACGATGCTACATAAATGTTACATATTTAGTTAAAACCATCAATGACTTACTCCAGAGAGAAGTTGGGTATATTCTCCAAACCAGTGTCGGCATGTCCAACTGGTTCAACACGGCTATTGTCTTCTTCTGTCCCATCCTCATCCTAGAGACAGTACAACACAAACAGAAACACAGTCTATGTTAGGTTTACTTCTATAATGTAAAAGGGAACTGGATAAAACTGGAGTCTTATAAACATTAAGATCATGTTAACTAGGTCTTTCATTCAGGGAAGATGACCTTTAATGATAAGATGGATGTGTGTGTGTGTGCACGTGTGCACGAAAAGCTCTATTTTAAAGCAGTCTCCTGAATCAGCATATCCCAGGAGGTGAACAAGATACCACTAGGATAACAAAAGAAAACATTAAAACTTTTATTTATGCAAATTTCATCTCATTTTTATTTAATTTTTGGTATATGTTTATGAAATAATTGTGTATGATATACTAATAATATATGTGAAACTAGGGATGTAAGTTCAAAAATCTTTAGTGATATGGATTTGAATCAAAACAGTTAAGACTATTATAAATTTTAACCTTTACCAATATCTTCAAAATCATAACTTCCAGTTCCTCAGTTCTTACAAACACAGCTTGTCAAGAAGAGATGCATTGGGTATATTTCCCACCTAAAGTCCTTCCTTCTATGAAATTTCACATAAAGTTATCTAATTATTAGGAGGCATCTGTAAAGGCTCTCATGGAGACCTCATCTGTGTCATAGTAAAACTGTGTTCCACTGAGTTTTCAAAGCTGTAACCTTCCAGAAGCAGATCACCAAGCCTTTTTTCCAAAGAGCCTCTAGGTGGACTTGAACCACCAACTTTTCAGTAAGTTGTTGAGTGCTTAACCTTTTGTGCCACCCAGGGGTTACCATGAATCAGACTTGACTCAAAGGTCACTAGTTTGGTTTTTTGGTTCATAAAGTTACTAAGATCTCAGCCATAAAGAACCAATTCTGTTGACTTCTGTTTATATAGGGCCAAGCATAGGAAAAGGCACAAACAGAAGCTTAGTTAAATCCACTCTTGTATTCTTCCTTTTACAAAGACATTTTATAAAACTTACGTTTCAGCATGTTACAGAAATTGGGTTAAGTATGTTGGTACTCCAAAATATGCAAGTGGAATGAAAGTGATGGTTCAGAAAAACAAATAAATGTCACCCAAGAATGTGCCTTAATTTATAATCCTGGCCATTGTTTTTTCATTAAAGAGTTTATTAATACTTGGGTTGGCTTTTTAAGATCATCTGAATAATAATAAATATGCCGGACTGATATCAATGGTCTTATTAATCAAATTAGAATATTTTAAAAGATTTAGATTCTCCAAACACAATGGCCAAGAGGCCCCCACATTCTTCACCTTGGATCTACAGTGTCTGGCATATAGTAGGTACTCTGTAAATATTTTTTGCTAATTAAAGCAAAAGCACTGCAAGGTATCTCTGGGGTAATAAGTTTTCTAATACAACTATATAAAACTCATTTAAGCTATTTTTTGGAAGTTTATGCGCGTAATTTATATATATATATATGTAATTTGCCAAACTTATCATTTTTGCTATATAAATTTCCTAGTGATATTACATGTGAACTTATTAAATCACCTACAGTAGAAAAGCAAATCCACAATTCGAGTAAAACTTTATATTTTTAATCATGTCTTTGAGAGATCCATAATTGAAATTTATATGCTATCAACAGAGATATCGATCAACAAAATAATAAGCAAGAGTTACAGGTTTGGGACACAGTGTCTGACAATATATTAAATTACTGAAGAGATATTAAGGCAAGACAGAGCCACTGGTAATGTCCAACTGACATTTCCTCTGAGAATCTACCAAAATAAGAAGCTAAAAGCACTGAGCTTTTCTGTAAGTGGTAGATATGTTCCGTGCATCCCGGATGGCAACGCACTGCATGAAGCCAGGCTACTTGAAGATTGATGATCCTGTGTTTTGAGACGCTCTAATATGCACTTCTTAGTCATCTATCTCTCTTAAGCACCAGCACGTAATACATTTCAAAGGTTAACCAGCATCTTGAACTTGCCTAAGAACTGCATTGTGAATGTAAACAAGAACTCCCAAAATGATGTTTTTCCACTGGGAGTAGGGTAGGGAGGACAGCAAACATGACTGTTTATAAATCAGATGCAAAACATAAAAATAATCTTAACAAGTGAAAGACATTTTGTTTCAGAATGCATTCATAATTTAAGCACCACTGAAATGCCACCAAGATGTATAACCAGTTCAAATACCTTTTTGGTACTATGAAAGGGCCACATAAATGAAATGCCCCAAACTATAGTGATAAAACAGGAACTGATCATTGACACATTCATTGTTCCCACAGTGGCCATTATCAGGCTCCCACAAGCGTGTAGAATATTATTTCATGGAGCTGCATATGGTGTTCAGTTTGGATTGCAACATTCACTGCCCTGAGGCTGAGCTGCAGTTGCTGTGGGAACCACAACTTAGAAATTCCCAACTTTCAAATGTGTAAATATCAGCTCCTATATTGCTTTATTCTGTTGTCTGGTACTTTTTTTTTTAAGCTGTGACTGAACATTAACAAGAGTTATACACTGAATTCCATTATAACCATAGTAAACTAAGCTCAATTATATATTTCAAATCAATATTTAAGGATTATAGTCCTTAAATAGTGTTACTGAATGAATTTCCAGGCGAGTTAATATACTTTTTTTTTCTTTTCCCTTCTCTTCATTTTATAACAGAGCATAGTGGAAGAGCTTGGGCTTGAGTTTAAAAGACCTAGATTTGAATACCTGCTCAGCCATTTGTTAACGTTATAGCCTTAGGCAAGTTCTATACCCTTTCTACATTTCTACCCCTTCTGCTGTAAAACGGGAACAATGAAAACATCCTCCTCTTAAGACTATTGTGAGGAATAAGATAATCCACGTCACAAGCATAACATGCTGCCTGCCCGACACACAGTAATTGTCCAGTAACTATTAGATGATTTTACTGAAGAGAGAAATAAACAATAAATACACAGTACACAAAATACAACCCAATAAGTGTTTTAGGGTCATGACACACAGGCACAAAGCATTTTAAGAATATATAATTATCCATTCATATTCTGTGCCTAGCAACACAATATAAAACATATTGCCTAACAATTAGATATAAAACACTATATTTTAGAAATTTTCATAACACCTAAAATTTATTATGTTTTGCTGTATACAAATTACTTTCATTGTAAAATGTCTCTGGGATAAGAAAACAAATCAAGAAAAATACAATCTGAATGCTATATACAATTAAGTGAATGATACAGGAGGGGGAAAACACTGAGTTTCTGGTTGAATAAATTTTCAAGAGAAAGTAGGTATCAAGAACCCTGAAAGGTCTGAGATTTTAGCCTATTGGAAAGCTCACAAGTTAGTTTGCCATAGTTTCATGAATGCTTGCAGAAGACACAAGACTCCTGGGTTAGAGACAAAGGACTATTTATTACTTAGAGCCATAGCAGTAGCTGGAGTATCATCCTTTTTGTCCTGGTTCCTCAAGTCAAAATTCCCACAAGGTGATGCGAAGAGAACCAGGGGACACCAGCACTCACAATCAACCCCTGAGCTTACAAGACCTAAATTTTTTATACAGGACAGTAAACATGCCTAATCATTGCTCTGGAGGACGACACTATGTCTATTTTCCAAAACTGTTTGCTGTACAATCTCCTTAAAAAGATAGTTCGAACAAAGGCAGTGAGAGCCTGTTCTCAAGGTACACAGAAGTGTGAGAAAACCATGGAAAATTGTCTCCCAATATTAGAGTTTAATCTAAGCACCGGCACATAGTAGAATCTGTACGGTAAGTAGCAGGTTGAAACTGGGAAGATCATTAACAACTGCTCTACGGTAACAACGCCTTCTTAACAGAAACATTAAATTCTACTAGATAAAAGCATTACCCTCAATACTGATTAAAAATGATTTTTCAGTGTAGAACTATATGTACAATTAAAAAATTAAGTGTGAAAGTTGAAAAAGTAAATGAATTTTCAGATATGTGAGGGCTTTACTTCCCATGGACCCTTCTTGCAAAGCTATTTTTGGATGTGCTCCAGCAAACTGAGGAAGTAAACTGAGAAAGAAGAAGCCAGAGGATCCAGGAAACTCAATCAAATACTGGATAGCACCCAAAAAAGTCCCAGAATGGAGATGAGAGGACAACCTAGGAAAGCAGGAACCAATTCAGACTGGAGGAAGAGGAAGAAGAGATAGGGGAAGTCAGTCTCCATGAAAAAAATGAAATTAATAACTGGTGTGACATTTTTGAACACTTGGGAAATAATAGGCTATTTGGTAGAATTGATAGAGAATATAGGGGAAAATTAAAGATATACACACAGACAACAAAGCAAAAGAAAATTAAAGTACTAAATTAACTCCAGGAAAAACAAAAGAAAATACATAAGAGAGGACATTTAAGTACAGTGACCACTGGGTTATCCAGTAGGCAATTCTTACATAGCCATTAAAATGTAAACACAGGCTGATGATTCTAATGCAACAATATTGAGAGGATAAAGACAGGGAGAGTGGAAATAGCCTAAAAGGAAAAACTCTCATCTTCCATAATGAGAGTCAACAGATATCATTAACTGGTAATCAGGAAACAGCAATATAAATATATTATTTAGAAACATGTAAGTCAACACCAAAACAAACAAGGGCACAAGTTGAAAGTGGATGCCTCTGAGAGAGACCCTCAAGGATGGGGAGGAGTGGAGCAGAGAAGCCGAGTTTCTACTGTAGCCTGTTCATGTTATTTACTTATTTTTATCCAAGTACGTAACTGAAATCCCCATCAGGAGGTAGAGGGTCTCCGTAGGTCCAATTAAACATTCAGACTCACAAGACCCCCACAGGCCACCTGGCACCAGATTCCCTTTGAAGGACACAGGACAGGAAATCCGGCTTGCCAGCAGTACAGCACCATGCTTTCCTCTTCAGTGGGAGTAGCGTGCACAGCAGTAATCATAGCTGTCCAGGAGCCTTTCCCTTGGGTCCCCCCAGATGACAGCTCAGGTACCAGGAAAGAGACT